AGTAGAAAAGACCTTTTAGGCATAGCATATGGAAAGACATAAGGGAAGGGGTTGGAATTTTAACTACATACAGAAAAGTTTTCAGATTTATGCCAAAAACAAAAAAGTGGGTTTGGAATTATCCATGCAGCGTGGTTTTTCCATGCCTTGGAATTGACCCACGGTCTGGGATTATTCTTGTTGCTGTTTCCGCTGGGTCGTGGAGACTAAGTCACGCTCCTGCATCCCTCAGGGACACTGTCCTGGGAGGAGCTGTGGAGCCCAGAGAGCTGTGGCTGGGGCAGACCCTCACCCCCCTTCTCCCCTCTTCCTCTTCATCTTCTCTTCTTCCTCCTCCTCTCCCCTGCTTCCTCCTCTTCATCCTCTTCTCTTCTCCCCTCCTCCTCTGGTTCCCTCCCCTTTCCTTGCCCCCATTAGCCGTTACTGAACAGTGGCCAGGACCTGAGCCAGGGCCCCAGACTGCATGGCCCAGGAGCCCGGAGGCCCTCCCTGCTGCCTCAAGGCTGCCGGCCTCTGATGTTCTCTGGCCAGGAGTTCCAGGCCTGGAGCCCTGTAAGGGAGCAGCTTCCTGGGACCAGCCAGAAGCCTTCAGACTGCCGCAGCACAGGGGACCTGGGTAAGTGTCCAAGGTCTAGGACCTGACTGGAGACAGCAAAGAATTCTTATCTTTGACCCAATCTCAGACGACAGGCCAGAGGACCAATAAATGGGTCTGTGCTTCTGTGGAACCCCTGCCCTAGGAGCCTGGGAAGTCCCACCTGTCTCAGCCTGAGTGTTCCACCCCATTCCCGTCCAGCCTCTTCAGGGACAGGCTTCCTGAAAGGTGGACCTGTCCCTCTCTTGGGGACAAGCCACTGCACTAGGAAGTTGTACTTGCTAGAGGTGACTCTACCCCAGGATTTATCGTCTTCATCACCTTTCCCCTGCCTCAAGATTCAGCCCTGTGGTCCCTCAACCCACAGAACCACCCCATCACCCCTCCACCTTAGAGACCGAGACATCCTCCGACTGGGAGCCCATGGCTGAGTCCGAGGAGCAGGCCAGTCCCAGCAGGCCCACCACCCCGGACCCTGTGCTGGGAAAGGCCTTGGTCAAAGGCCTGTGTGACAGCCAACGCGTGCAGTGGGAGGTGAGTTTCCAGCTGGAACCACCCGGGCCAGAGCCGGGCAACACACGCAACACAGACTTGTGGAGCGAGACCTTCCATCACCTAGCGGCCCGCGCCATCATCCGAGACTTCGAGCAGCTGGCGGAGGGGGAGGATGAAATCGAGCTAGGTGAGCACCCAGGCCCTTGGCACCTGCAGACCCTCCCAGAAGTCCTCCCTCTAGCAGCCCAGTGCCACACTCACTTGCCCCTGCCCCTCCTCAAAGCCCCACCCACACATAAAGGCGTCTATTACTCCCAATGCTCGCCCACTACCCCACGCCTGTCCCCTGCCTCTTCTCAAAGCGCCGTTCACGCCCCAAGATCCCCCTTCTAGTAGCCCAGTGTCCCACCTCATTGCCATAGGTCTGCCCATCCCCCCAATAATCAACCCACCCCCCAAAGCTGGTCCTCATCCTCCATCAAAGCCCCACCACCTCCCCAAAGCCCGCCCTCTAGCAGTCCTGGCGTTCTGCCCACCCCCTGGAGCTCCACCCACCCCCCCTTAGGCCCTCCCCTCACAGCCCCACTCCAGTTCAACACCCACCCCACCCATTCCTCCCAAGCCTCACCCCCCCATTCTCTTCTAGACCTCACTATCAAACCTTCCTCCCTTGCCTCCAACCCCCTCCACCTCCCCATAACCACTCCAGTGCTCCATCTCTGCCCTCCATCACCTGTTTCCAGGGGCCACCTCTTCCCCACACCTCACCCCCCCACCACACTTCATGGAGCTTGGGGATCCTCAACCTGATCAGCCAGGGTAGCCTCCCTCCCCAGCCCTGGCCTCCTCCACCTCTCCCACTCACCTGGTGATCTATCCTTTTCTCTCCTCCCCTTCCCCTAACCTTGATCCACGCTCCCTCTGCTCTAGCACTTTAACCCTGCAGTGTCCTTGTCCAGCTCTGGGCACCCAACAGTGGTAATAGCTCCTCAGGGACAGCGCTTTTCCCCCAGGGTCCCTAGACTTGTGTAGATCCAGTTCTTCTTGACATTGACTTCCTATGGGTCAGCTGGGGGCCTGGCTGGGGGTGGGGGTGGGGGTTGGCCCTGTGGATCAGCAGGTGGAAGAAAGGGAACAAAGCAAACCCATCCTTTCCGGGAGTGCCTGACATAGACTAACAAGCCAGCATTAATCAAACGACTAATTGAGTGCATCCATCCTAAGTGCTATTCAGAAATACAGGGATCCAAGCCATGTATAACAGGGATGGTCAGGAGCTAATTTAGTCCAGGAACTGTGGCAGCCTCCCCTCCACCCCCAGAATGTGACTATGGAAATCTTGACACAATTGGAGAACAAAGATATCAACCAGTCAGAGTTATGTGATCTCTTTGTTCTAAGTTTACACTTCATTTACATACTATGTGGTTTATATTTAATTTGTATTTTTAGGTGATGTATGATACTTTTTTCTTCCCCTGAGCACTCACCCGCCTTACGGTTCACAAATTATTTGTCCACCTTTCATCCCCCTGGCTTCTTCTTTTAAAATATTTTATTTATTAGTTTATTATTTTTATTTTATGTGTATGAGTGTATTGCCTGTATGTATGAAAGTGCACCCATGTGGTGCAGTGCCCCTGGAAGTCAGAAATGGGTGTCGGATCCCGTGGAACTGGAGTTCCAGGCAGTTATTAGCCACCATGTGAGTGCTGGGAATCAAACCCGGGTCCTCTGCAAGAGTAGCCAGTGCTCTTAACCAATGAGCCATCTCTCCAGCTGCCCCCCCACCCCTCCTGAGCCTTCTTGGACAGCATTCTGAAGGTAGCAAGACACAAAAATGGCCCCCTATTCGCTGGACAGGGTCTAGGTTTCGAGGTCAGGCCATCCTGAGATCTAATCCCAGGACTTTACTAATTTTCTGTGTGACCTTACACTCTCTTGCTCTGATTTGCAATCTGTGTGTGTGTGTGTGTGTGTGTGTGTGTGTGTGTGTGTGTGTGTGTGTGTGTGTGTGTGTGTGTGTGTGTGTGTGTGTAGGTCAGAGGACAACTTGCAAGAGTTGATTCTCTCCTTTCACTTTGTGAGTTCCGGGGATGGAGTTCATCTTGTCAGCTTGGTGGTAAGCACCACCCTTACCCACTGAGTCATCTGGCCAGCCCTGGGTTGTTTTTATTTTCTTTTCTTTTTTTTTTCTTCTTAATATCTTTGATTTTTTAATTTATTTTATGTGTATGAGTGTTTTGCCTGCATGTATGTAAGGCACCCATGCCATGCAATGCCTGCAGAGGTCAGAGGATGGTATTGCATCTCTGGAACTGGAGTAATGAATGGTTGTCCACCATCATGTGGGTGCTGGGAATCAAATCTGGGTCCTCTGCCAGAGCAGCCTGTGCTCTTAAGTACTGAGCCATCTCTCCAGCCCCTTTTCTTAATGCCTTGAATTAGCAGATTAGTAACCGCTTGATTTCAGGACCTGTTTACTCCCAAAGATGAGAACTGTTGATCCAGCTCTCCCTTTGAGCTTCTGGAGCATCTATGCCAAACAGGACTTTCTGATACCACATAGTGACCCTAGCTCCTCCTCCTACAGGATCTAATCGCCGATACCAACTGAACGCTGTGCACACCAGCAAGGCCTGCAATGTGATTAGCAAGTACACAGTCTTCGTGCCTGTGGACATGAACAAAAGACAGTACCTGCCCACAGTGGTGAGGTACCCCAAATCTGGTAAGGCGTGCACATGGCTGGGGAGGGACAGAGATACCAGAGAGAGCAGCCCTACATAGAGGGGTGCAAGGCAAGTTTTAGAAACAGAAAGGCTCCCAGAGATGGTTCTGCCACTGCGGGGGCAGGGCGGGGGAGAAAACGCCCTACTGTATTTTCTTCCCAATAGGTAAAAAAAAAAAATTTAAAAAAAAAATGTGTCCCTTGTAGAAAATCCCAAATTGTGTAGAGTGATACAAAACAGACAAATAGGTCGGACTGACAGTCACCCAGGAGGAAGTACTTGACACCTCCCTGCTGTGCCCATCCTGATTTCTCTTGATGACTGTCTATATGGAAGGAAATCAAAAGACACATAAGGTTATGTGCTGGCACAAGCCAGTATGTGGTGTGTTTTCCAAAATAATGGTATGGGGGGGAAAATCTGTCTATAGACAGCTATAGTGAAGGGAGACTGACTGATCATCCATCTGGCTGGACCTGGTGGCACAGGCCTATCCTAGCTACTCAGAAGGTTGAAGCAGGAGGATCGCAGGTTCAAAGCCTGCCTAGGCCACAAAATCAGTTTTCAAGACCAGTCTAGGCAACTTTGTAAGACATTGTCACAAAATTATAAAGTAAAAAAGAAGGCTGGGGATGCAACCCAAAGGTAGAATGATTATCTAGCACGTAGGGGGACCCTGGGTTCAATTCTCAGTATTGCTAAAAAAATTTAAATCCATACATATCCAATCCATGTTATAAAACACTGTGCATATTTTAAATCAACTAACCCTCAAAACAGCCTAAAGTCCCCTATAGTCTAGACCAACATTTCCCATGTGTGTGCTGAAAAACTAGAACCTTCCGTTCTTGTCCTGTGAATAGCTCCCTGAACAGAAATAGAAAACACCCAGTTAAGAAATACATCCAAGGGCCTGGATTAGGTAAAGCCAGGAGCTTTCCCTGTTGCAGAAGCCCTCAGAATCCTTAGGGTGTTAGTCCACATCAAGAGGCCGGAAGAGAGGCTGGAGAGATGTCAGGGTGTCAAGGGCACTGGCTGCTCTTGCAGAGGACTCGGGTTCTGTTCCCAGCACCCACATGGCAGCTAACAACCATCTGTAACTCCAGTTCAAGGGAATCCGACACCCTCTTCTGACCTCTGAGGGCACTGCATGACACATGCAGGCAATACACTCATACACATAGAATAAAAATAATAAATAAAATATTCTTTTAAAGAGACCAGGAGAATGGACCATGTGCTCTGTGGCTTCTCCAAACCTATTTCCCAATGCGATCTTTATTTTTATTTGTGTATGTGCGTCTATGCACATGTGTATGTTCATGTGGGTATGCCTAAGTGTGCATATACACATGTGTGTGCATGCATGTGGAGGCCAGAGCTCAACCTCAGGTGTTGTTTCCCAGGTACTGTTTGTTTGAGACATGGTTTCTCATTGGCCTGGAGCTCACCGAGTAAGCAAGCCTGTAAGCTGGACAATGAGTTCCAGACCTGTCTCTGTCTCCCTAGCATAGGGATTTTAAGTGCACACCATCATACCAGGCATTTTTGTGGGTTCTGAGAATCGAACTCAAGACCTCATATACTTTACTGACTGAGCCATCCCCCCAACCCTGCAACCTTTACTTTTAAAGGACAGCTTACAGACTGGTGTTCTCTGAGAGTGGTGTTCCCTAAACACACTTTGGGAGAGTTGGCTTTACCCCTCTTCCAACTACCCTGCATTGGCAATGCCTGGGGCCTCAGAGACCTGCATGGGAGTTAGGACCTGGGAATCCTCACAGCAGTCATATTTACCTGGTAAAGCAAAGATTATTATCCCCATTCTCCACATAGGGAAACTGAGGCTCAGAGGAGTACACATTCCATCCAGCTAGTGAGGAATGGAGCTGGGGCTCAAACCCAGGTCTTTTTGGTTCCCAGACTCATAATCTTGCATTATGCCACGCCTTCCCACCTTAGGATAATAGAGAAACAGAAGCCAGAGTCATTTCTTGGGAAGATGGCAGGGACCAGTAGATACATACCCACCTCATCATTTGTTCACCCCTGTCCTCCATGAAGGTACAACACTGCAGATGGTCAGTTTCCGAAGCCTGGCCCAACAGTGGGAAAGCCCCTCCACTGGTTTCAGACAGTCCCCGGCCATGCTGAGAGAAGGCTCCTCTGCCGTGGGAGACAGCAAATTCCAAACTCTAAGTAAGAGCCACTTTGTGTGTTCAGAAGCCTGAGCATCCTTCCATAGAAGGCCCCAGGGCCCCTCTCTGAGTCTGTACTCTGGGACCCTAAGCAGGGCCGAGACAAGGCCAGGTGTCTCATTTGAGAAAGGCCTACGGTAGGCACAGGGGCTCTGTGTGGCTCCCATGCACAGCTCTCTGCAGAAGCAGCTGCTGTAGCTGGGAACGTTAGGATTTCTGCCCGGCCTCCCTGTCCCACACACCTTCTCTGCCCTCCTCCTCTGCCTGCCTCCTCTGCTCCTCCCCTGCCCGTGTGGTTGTTCCTACTCTCCGGCCTTTGGGTCCTCAGAGGCACCAAGTATTGGGAACCAAAAGAACTGGGGAAAGTAAAGACGGGGACAGCCATCCTACCTGTTTAGGGCTCAACATTGCTTTCTAGGTTCCCAGCAGCTGTCTTCAGCTTTCACCTGACAGGCCTGTAGCGGGGCACTTCAGACAGCTGTGATGGGACCCTGTGTGACCTTGAGCTGATTGGCAAGCTGGCCACTCTGCCTCTTGTCTATGAGCCTGTCTTTCTGGCTCTCCACAGATAGCCTCAGTACTACACTCCTCCCAACCCCTTCCTCCCTGCCCCACAGGCACAGTGTGGGCATCCTACCCACGGTTAGACACGGGGAGGACATCAGAGGTCACACTTGGTCACTAGCCAGTCACCTGGACTGTAAGAATGTTTCCTCAGAAGGAGGAGAATGCAAAGACACCCAGAGTCATCATTCAGAGTTAAGGACAATGTCTTGGTCTCTTTGTGCCCCAAACTGCAAGGGAACTTGCTATCCCCAGCCACTGAGATTCCCAGATCCGCTCTTGGTGGTCCATGGCCTCCATCCAAATCACAAACCCCCTCCTTCCCATGGTCCTTTATTCAGGCCCAGCATCTCCAGCATCTCAGCTCTTCTTTCATACAGAAGATACATGATACCACCAAGGTTTAGACCCAGTGTTTGGCCCCAGGTTCTATGAGGCTACTAAGTACTACCCTGTTTGCCTCGTGACTGCTTCAGTCATTTCCAGTTCATCCCTGTGCTGGGTTCTGGGGCAATAAGCCCCATCTCAGGGTGGGAGACAGAGGCTTTGCTGTATATATTGAGTGTGAACCTCCTTCTATAATTTAGACAATCTCTTATGTTAATATTGTCCTGTTGGTCTTAACTCCAGAAGTGGCAATCCTTAAATAACCATCTTGATTGAGTATTGTATTAGTCTCTTGTCCATGCTGTGATAAGATACCCTGGCACAAAGCAGTGTAGGGAAGAAAGGGTTTATTTGGCTTATGTTCCAGAAGGACAGAATCTGTCATGGGCAGGGGCGAGGGAGGGAGTTAGGTATGACAACAGGCAGGGAAAGCAGGATCAGGAAGCCAGCAATCACATTTTCATCCACACACAGGAAGCAAAGAGAAGGAACAGGAAGTGGGGCGAGACTACAAAGTCTCAAAGCCCGCCCCCAGTGATGTGCTTCCTCCAGCAAGGCTCCACCTCCTAAAGGTTCCATAACCTCCACAAACAGTGCCACCAACTGGGGACCAAGTGTTCAAGTACATGAGCCAATAGGGGACATTTCTCATTCAAACCACCACAAACATTTTAACTATGATTTTCATCCTTATTTTTTTAGATAGGGAAATTGAGGCTCAAAGCCTTCTGATGAGTCAAGCACCATGTGCTGGTGCCTCCTGGAGGGCCGATGTGAACATCTTGGTGGCCATAGACCTAGAAAGGAGATACTCATGCCACTGAGGCCCTGACCCCTACCCTGAAGCCCAGACTTGATCCTGCTTCACTGTGGGGTCTGCATTTCAAGGTTCTGTCGAGCACTCGATAGGGCATTATTAGAGTAATATCTTACTCAGTGCTTCTAAGCCACTAAGCCACTAAGTGCTTCTAAGTGCCACTGTGAGGCAGGTACCCTTAGCATCCATTTACAATGTAAACTTATAAAGAAAGTGACATTATCAAGGGATGCTAGGAGTTTGAGCCAAGCACCGAAAGCAGCAGGAGAGGGCATTGAGCACCTGGGGGCCTTTGACTTTCTGTGTTATAGCTCTAGAAGAAAGCTCCACTTATCCCTTTGATGAGATCCGGTTCCCTGGTTTTGAGAAGGATGCTGTCACTGCAGAAGGTGAGCAGGCAGCCAGTGCTGTCTCTCATTATGATGGTGATATGTGAGGGGTGCTAAGGACAGGGAGATGTCATAGCACCAACAGATTTCTACGGTGCCTCAGCACAGCCTATGGGAGATAAAGAGGATAATCCTCAATTTAAAGATGAAGAAAGTGAAGCTTAAAGGGGGAAAAGTGATTTGCTCAAGGCCACTTAACAACCTGGAGTCAGGCCTCCTGATTCCAGCTGAGGGGGCACTGTCCCAGCCCACAGCATACAGCATCCCCCAGCAGTGCGTCAAGGGTGTTGACTCAGTGTTCCATCTGAGAATGTAGTTGATGTGAAGCTGTCACAGCTCCTACAGTCACATCCCAGAAGATGCCAGGGGCTGCTTGCAAGAACCCTGTAGGCTTACCTGCCCCTTCCTATATCACCTTTGCCCACCTAGGTCAAAAGCTGTTCTACAGCTCACCCACTCGCTCAGACCCTGGGGCCATTGGGGTATAGACAGGCTCCTACCCCATTTGGAACCTCTTTTTCCAGCTGGGGGGTGACCACTGAACATGGTTTCAATCTGTCATTCTGTAATTCTCCAGGTCCCCCACAGAACCTGTCCGCCAGTGCCCTGTCCTCCATGAAGACCTATGAGACTCTCTTTGGCTCAAGGTAAGAGGAACTTCCCATGAGGACATGGTACTCTGCTCCCTGCTGCCTTTGCTTTTCCTGGTACCATCCCTGGCTGGAAAGCCCAAAAGCAGGTCCAGCCTCACCTCAAGATGCATACTAAGAGAGCCCTCATGCCTAGAGATGCCATAGTCTGCTGGGTCTCAAGCTACCTAAAATCTACCACCATGGTCCATCCCCCACACTCCAAGGTCTCTTCAAATGTGAACACCCTCTGGAAAGCTGGTGTGTAGTTACTTTTCTAATTACTGTGAAAAATTACCTGACAAAACTAACCTACAGAAAGTTTTGTTGTGGCTCACAGTTTGAGGATACAGTACACCATGGTGGGAAGGCACAGTGTCAGGCGTGTGAGGCAGCTAGTGACATTGCATCCAAAGTCAGGAAGGAGAGAGAGAAAGAAAGAGAGGGGAGAGAAGAAAAGAAGAGATAAAGCAATATTGCTGCTCAGCTCACTTTCTCCTTTTCATTCAGTCTGAGACCCCCAGCCCAAGGCATGGTGCTGCCCACATTTAGGGTGGGTCTTCCCTCCTCAGTTAACTTAATCTGTAAACTCCCTCACAGACATGCCCAGAGATTTGTCTCCTAGGTGATTCTAAATCCTGTCAAGTGGACCATCACAACTAGCCTAAGACTCTTCCCTTCGCTAGACTTGGAACAGCACAGTATCAGAAGACAGCCATAAGAAAACACTAACGTGTTCATAGCCCCACTGCTGCTAATGTCGGAGGCATTAGGGATTGACACCTCCCTTCTCTCCAGGCCTCTGTTTCCCTAGCTATCAAATGAGGTGGTTTGAAGATACCATCAATTGGGCCCTCTGGCCCTGATTTTCGGAAGCTTCTGGACAGGCACCGGGAAGCTGGGATGACCAGGGACATCTGGGTCTATCTATACAGGTTGAATCTTAACACATCCAGGCTGCTGACTCGAGCTGCCAAGGGCTTCCTAAGCAAGTCAGTGACCAAGGCTCCAGAGCCAACCGCAGGCATCCAGAACTTCGACTATGTACCGCTGGTGAGCACTCTAGAACTCAGAACTCCTCCCACCAAGTCAGCCCCCTGTCCACCTGCTCTTTTCTCGCAGAGAACGAGATCTTGTCAGAGCTGAAATCCCATGAGCTTTGGAGTACCCCAGAGCTTCCCACCTAAGTAGTCCCAAGGCAGAGGGAACCAGCCAGAGTCTCCGCTTGGGGCATGGGTCTTAGCCAGTGAAACGTCTCTGCGACTTGCTGTGTTTGCCTTAAAAATTCACAGGTCTTTGGCATTCTCCTGCAACATCTATATAGGTGTGTCTATTTTCAGTATATAAAAATCAGCCTTGAAATGACACGCCGTTGAGTAAAAGTCACATCCCAAGGAAATACACTGTGTTCCTAACTGGCTCTGCAGAGTCTCTAGCACACTGTAGTGGGGTGAGAAGGCTTGTTCTACAGCAGGCTGGTCCTGCTACATCTGGGTGTCCCTAGACTTGGGAATCACAGGGGACTTGTAAAAGAGGCATGATTTGTGTCCATTGCCTCATATCTCTGTCCCTGCTAACCCAGGTACATGGTGTCATTTTGAATCTCCAAATATCCAGGGCAGCCAGGCATAGATGCATATAGTCTCTTCACCAGTGTAAACTGAGTCAAGCTCAGTGTAGACTCTGGGGAGACAACCTTGAGCTGGGTAAATGTAGTTCTACATCCAAGTGGGAGCTAGACACAGAAGTGGGCAATTCCACTCCTTGGGAACAATGAGAGGAGAGGTTGGCTCTGGTGGGGGCATACAGGAGTGACCCTTGAAGCCTGAGATAGGGGGTTCTGGCAGAATGGAGTCTAACTTCTGGAAGCAGGCAATGAGAGAGTCCAGACTTGAGGTGTGAGGAGTCACAGTCCAGGGCCTAGAGAGGAGTCAGCTTGGCGGCTTGAGACTGGAGTTGAAGAGTTAAAGTGCAGTAAAACAGGGCCAGGTCATGCGAGGCTATATAAATCACAGTCTGGTCTTTAATGGAAAACTGAGTAAAGGGAAAATAGAGCTGGGCCTTCAGAGAATGTGTGATCTAGGCTTTGTGAAGGGAGGTCCCTCTGGGTGGGAGACAGATGGGCCAAGAGGGGAAAGAGAAGCAAGAGAGGCCAGAGAAGGCATAAGGAGGCAGGCAGGGGGCTGTAGAGCCATCGAGAAAGCTAGCCTGTTAGGACTTGGAGACTGACCAGTGGGCACGCAGGGATAAGGGTCGAGCAGATCAGAGTCTGCTGGACAGGCCTGGACAATCCCAGTGGCTTAGCAGAGCCTGCGCAGGACAAGAGGCAGGTTTGGAGCTGTGCTAGTGAGTTGGGTTTGAAGAGTGATCAGCCTGGAGGGCTGGGAATAAAGAGAGCATGTTCAGTTGACTTGGGTATCTTGAAAAAAAAAAAAAACCAAAACCCAGACAGGCATGGTAAGCTGGAGAGAAAGAAGTGGACCTGGGACTCCATGGACTTACATTTTTGAGGCCCACTGAGGAACTCCCCTGCCCACAGGTGTCTCTGCAGCTGGCCTCCGGAGCCTTCCTGCTGAATGAGGCCTTCTGTGAGACTATCCACATCCCCTTGGAGAAGCTCAAGTGGACCTCACCCTTTATGTGCCTCCGAATGTCCCTCGACACCCGCCACAAGTGTATCAGCCCCTCATCGCAGCACCTGTCCAGTGACAGCCTGTCCTCAGAGTCAGTGGCTGAAGCCAGGCCAGGCCTGGTGGAGACCACGGGAAAGCTTTGGGCCACTGCAGTGGCGCTGGCCTGGCTGGAGCACAACTCAGCCTCCTACTTCACAGAGTGGGAGTTGGTGGCCGCTAAGGCCAGCTCCTGGCTAGAACAGCAGAAAGTTCCTGAAGGCCGCAAGCCGAGCACACTCAAGGCCACAGCTCGCCAGCTGTTTGTGCTCCTGCGACACTGGGATGAAAACCTGGAATTCAATGTGCTCTGTTACAACCCCAACTATGTGTAGAGGGGAGGGGGGAAGGGATAGGTCATTTCAGCTGGTGAGGGAGCTTTTTGAAACTATAGCTAATACATTGTTGCTAGAAAGAGACCTGGACTGGCAGTCAGCAGGTCTGAGTTCAATCTCTTTGCTAACACCTGGCAATTTGAGACCAGACATTGCCCTTGTCTGGGCCTGAGTTTCCTCATCTATAAAATAGGAAGGTGAGATAAGGTCATTGGACCAGATCTTTAAATGGTTCCAATACTCTAATGTACAGACTTTAAGGCAGTCCTGGGACTAGCTACTTGATTTGGGCATGGGGAGAGAGAAAAAAAAAATCTGAGTTTTCTTCAGGAAAACCATGTGGACATGCTCAGTAAAGAACAATGCCCCACACCAATGAAAAATGAGTAAGAAAACCCTTCAAAGACCAGCAACCAGGGCCACAAACTCTTAGGTACTAAGGCACTTCCTGTCTGTTGCATTGTGGAATAGGTTCTTGTCTCCATGGTGACAGTCCAGGGCGTCCAAATCCCACCTGCAAGTCGACCAGAGAACCATCCTTTCCTTTGCAGAGAGTCTTCCTGTTGGGTGAGGAAACTCCCTTAGTACATGATGATAGAACATTTGGCTTCCTATCTAAAAAGATGTGATAGAACCAGGGGGCATAGATACCCTGTCAGCTGAAATGTTAGAATGAAGAATATTAAAATAGTTTAGAAAGAATAGGTGGGCTCGCAGGACTCAGTGAAGAAACCATACAGAAATAATTTATATACTTTAAGCTGTTGGATAAAGTGACTCCATCCACTTGTGCTGAGGGGTTAGAGCGGTACCTCTGTGTGCATTGCATTCTGGGATAGTGGAGTCCCTCTCTGACCAAGTCATATTGTAGGGGAGAGGGAACATCTCTGCAATAGGAAACCAGGCCTGGCTGTAGTATAAATAAGGAGATGACAGGGAATGAAAAGATTTTGAAAGTTCAAAGCAGGAGCCCTAAGGGATCCCCAGCTCCAGGACCATCATGTGATACCCCTGAAGTGGTGTGTCCCAGCCTCAGGTTCCCTCATGTCTGGTGTCACTGTCCAGGCACCACTCCTATCCCCCTCACATTTCCTTGGAAGTGGATCTAGACCTTACCAAGGAGACCCACTAGCTTGGGACCCCATGCTGAATCTGTATACCCCATAAATCTCCTCTTCCCAAGGTCTTATTTCTCTCCAAAAATGGTCCCTAGGACTCTGATGTGACGTTCCTCAAAATCCTCTTCAGGGAGACAGATCCTAATCAAACCAGTCCATGGGGGCCTTGTGGGCTATGCTCCAGCTCATAGCTCCTCAGAGGGTCCCTCGCTGCCTGAGTCACCCTTTGGAAGACTTAAAATCTGTTCCCTGCTTCACTGGCTGCCTCTGAAGAGAAACCACCCTGGCTGCCCCTGACCTTGCATGCTGGAGACCTCAGATGAGGCAGAATGAAATCTGGGGTGTTGGCTTAGCTTCAGCGTCACCAAGAGAGAGGCTGATTCCGATTGTCTTGCCCAAGGTCCAAGGGGAAATGAAGAGGGGCCTTGTCAATTCCCTGCACCCATTAACACCTATACTTCTTTAGCTATGTAGCCAGCAGCCCTGGTTTCTCAAGGATGGTAAGGGTAGTGCCCATTTCCTGGCCATCACTAGTGGAAAAACGGCCAGGCTGTGAGTCAGAACACATGAACTTGGATCTGAGTCTTGATGCTTGTTCGTCAATGACTTCCCCTTTCTGAATGTTCTAGATCTAGTGAGATTCCTCCTGATCTGACATTCCCCAATTCCCTCTTGGTAAACATGGATTTGCTCTACTTCTTTGTGACCTTGAACATGTCCTGTGTGTACCCTAGATTTCTTTCTCCTCTAGCAATGACCAGGTTGGGCTGTCTAGACAGTCCTTGCCCACCAGCTTGATCCCAGGGCCTCAGGCTCTAGAGAGGCAGTCCAGCTCCTGCCCAGTGTGAAGCAAGCACTATGAGATGCCTCAAAAGATATGCCCTCAGCCAGGCGTGGTGGCACACACCTTTAATCCCAGCAGTCAAGAGGTAGAGGCAGGTGGATCTCTGTGAGTTCAAGGACAGCCTGGTCTACATAGTGAATTCCAGACAAGCTGGGGTTGCAGGAAGACCTTGTCTCAAAAAGATTTAGAAAATAAAAGGGAGGAAGGAAGGAAGGAAGGAAAGAAGGAAGGAAGGAAGGAAGGAAGGGGGGAAAGGGAAGGGAAGGGAAGGGAAGGGAAGGGAAGGGAAGGGAAGGGAAGGAAGGGAGGGATGGATCTGCCCTGGCAGAAGCTGCCAGAACTCAACAACACATTGGATGTATATGTAATTGTTGGTCTCTGTAGCCCTGAACTCCCCTGCCCAGCCCTACAGTTCCAAGAAACAAATCCCCTTGGTTTCAAAGGTCTTCAAGAAACAGATCCAGCTCTGCTTTCAAAGTCATGTCAAAGGGACACCATACCAATGCCCTCACTGTATGAAGAAATGTAGGCACCAAGACCAGCCAACGAGCCTCTACGCTCCCTAAAATATGGACTGAGATTTGGGAGCCTAAGGGTTGGTCCCATCCCACCACCAGTTTGTTGTGTGACTTTTGGCAAATTGCTGGCTTCCTCCGAGGCCCTATTTTATTTTTTTTGTAGAATGATGAGATTCCATTAGACCTCTGTTACTCACCCGTGAGAAACTTCTGTGGGGTAAATACACTGGGGAAAACCCCAGAAAAAGACTTATTCAGGTTAGGAAGCTAATAGGTTAATCACACATTCACTTTCCAAGGATGTGACCTAGCATGCAGCACTTTCATAGGTACTCAATAAGAAAATGTTGATCTATCATTTCCCTGAAGGTTGATCACTAACATCCGAAAGCCTTTATGGGGTGCTTGATGGGCATATGGAGTACCACTGTGAACACACCAGTGGCTGTCCTTGTCCCTTGGCATTTGGCAAGAAGCCCCCTCTCCTGCTCCTTGATGTATTATTTGACCATTATCCAATGCTATCATCTGGCCTGTGTCAAAGTGGCCTCAGACTGGTACTGAATGGTACCAATAACCAACTCCCTGACTCTGACATGCTTGATGGTTTGGGGGTTGCTGGCCACAATCATCATCAGAAAGGAGCTCCCACAGTGGGTTCTATGGTCCAGTGCCGCCAGGGAATGCTTGCAACAGAGGTGCCCTGAGGGTCCACCTGCTGCCACAGGCAGACCCTGTCTCTGAGACCCCTCAACTAAGAAGCTGAACTCTGGAGTCCAGGAAAGCTTCCCTTGCACTCAGGGGGCTCACTCATCGTGTATTTGTAAATACGTAGCTTTGGTTTCCAGTTGGTCCCCTGCCTGGGTACAAAATGAGCGATTTCCACTGTTCTCGATCTGAGCCAACATGGCTGTGGCTAATGAGTGAGGTAGCCACTCCCAACACCAACTCCTGATGGTTTTCCTCTGCTCTTCAGATATATGAAAAAGCAAGGATTCCCCCTCCTTCCTGCGTGCTGGTTCACCTGCCATTAAAGGTTTCAGAAGTTTCTTCTAAATCCTACCTGCACCCCACGGACACCTACCTTTATTTAAGAGCCAAATTTCCTCCATTGGGCACTGTTCCCTTCACTGTCCCTTGGCAGGAACTCTCAAGGAAAGGGTTATGGAAAGGGGTCTCCTTCATCTGGGCACAGTGGACCCCTCCCTAGAGACCAGCTACCCCATTCTCCAGTCTGACACCCCAGTAACTTGCCATTTGGGGTTCCAATTCCCGCCCCTCATTTGTGACATGGTAACATCTCAGAGTGACCCCGGGCATACATTCTACATCCTTAGTACCCTGGGGAGGGAAAGGGAAGGCATGGGGTATATGTCCATTGCCACAGAGTTTGGAATGAGTCTCCCCCCTGCCCCCAAGCAGGAACTAGAGGCAGCAGCAGCAGCAGCAGAGATGCCCCTCGGCCGTGACATCGCTCTCCACAACACCACTGTGAATGCCCAGGGCCAGGGTATGTGTGGCACTGTGCAACTGGGTAACCTGATCCACAGAGATCTGTCCCCAGATCAAGGACTTGGCAGCCACTCCCAACCAGGCCTCCGGCTTCATGTGAGGGAGTTTCCCAACACTTGTTTCCACCTCAGCCCTGGCCTGGTGACTAGCCTCGCACCAGCACTGCCTCCCTGGGTGACCTATCAACGCCAACATAAGGTGTCTCCTGTTCACGCTGCAGTTTTCCTGGGCTCAGGGCCAGCTGGCCTGAGCTTCCAGCTGCTTGCAAGGCAGTTTCTGTCTCCATGTGCTCATGTGGTGACAAATATGGTATAGTTTCACTATTTTCCCAGGTAACTTTGGCGCAAGTGGCATGGCCGGTGCTTGTCCCTGTCAGCCCCTCAAGTGCCTATAACATGCTGCCCTGTCCCTTTGCCTGCTCACCCCAGTGACCCCACAGTAGGACACTTCCTGGAAAATACATCACCATCTTGCTGGGTGTAGCCAGTTGTGCCAGTGTTGTAGAGATCTTGGATGCGAGGACCTTGATGCTGCCAACAATTAGCCACGCCTGCCCTAGAGTTGTGTGAGTGTATCTGTTTTCATAGAAATGGCTACTTTGTATACAGTGGCTGCTGTCCTTTGAGTGGCTTTGAGTTCATAAAAACCATCGATGTGACAAGCTTACACATACTTGTGACTGTTCTTTTGCTCTGAGTCCAAACTACAAGTCCAAAGATCTGTTTGTCTTGCTTTGTGAACCACATCTGTCTTGGTTTGGGCTCTTCCTAAGGTGACCAGTGGTCTCAGTTTGCCCAAGACTGAGAGAGGGTGCCAGGATGTGAGACTTCCTGTTTTAAAACTGAGACAGTCCTGGTCAAACCAGGAGAAGCCACAGTGGTTCCCCGGATAAGGATTCGGGTGCACGTGGTTGATTTGGGGAGTCCTGGAAAATACCCCGAGGGAAGTACAGAAGTGAAAGGGAGTTGTGGGACATTTTCCTGGGAGACATACGGAAGTGTCTATTCATCCCAGATAGGCAAGACACCAAGAGAGGGAAAAATAGTCCAAATCCAGTTGCGTGAACTAATGAGTTTGTTGGGATTACTTACAGGAACACAAGTATTCAAAGAAGACCTCTGGGCAGGTAACTTAGGGGCAGCTAAGAGTCCCACCTGCCACTGAACTGCAGAGGACCTGGGTTCAGTTCCCAGCACCCACAAAATGGCTAACAAAAACTG